GGACCACCTGGAGCAGGATTAGAGGGTCTGCATGGGCCTGTCTAAGCCCAGGATCTGGCAGTCCAGGGCACTGGGACACAGGCTACACTACCTTCTTCTCCCTCTACCCAGCTGTTTACTTTTTTTCCTGGAAATCAAACCTAGGGCCAGTCTGCCACTGAGTTATAGTCCACTGAGCCATCTTTTTTCTTGGTCTTTTTGAGACAAGGTCTTGCTATGCAGTTTAGGCTGGCCTTGAACTCACTTTGTAGCCCAGGCTGTCCTTGAACTTGCAGTTATCCTCCTGCTTTAGCTTCCCAAGTGCTGGAATTGCATGTGCCACCATGCCTGGCATGCCATCTTTATTTTTATTAAGACAAGGTCTCACTAAGTTGCCCAGCTTTGGCTCCAAGTTGTGATCCTCCTGTCTCAGCCTCCTCAAGTGCTGAGTGATAGGCATGAACCACTTCTTTCCCTTACAGCTGTCCTGGCTCCCTGCCTCCCCTCCCTGAGGCCACCATCAATGAGCTTTTCCATGGCAGGGCTCCTCCACAGGTCCCCATGACCTTCCTCCCATTGGGCTGCAGGATGTGGGCAAGTGGGAGGAAAATGCACTCAGCATGTCCACCTACACCTGTCATCAGCCAGCCCTGGTTCAGCTGCTCTCCTGTCCTTACCAGCTGCCAGCTTGGCTCAGTCTTTGGGCTGTCCCTCCCTTTGTCTTGCTAAAACACCCTGCTTGACCTTCCCTGGTCTGGCTGCCCTCCCACACACTCACTCTTTTCCTGGGGTGCAGCTCCAGCCAGGAGGGTGTAGGTAGCGCGTTGGAGAAGAGGAGAAATTTTCTGCATCTCCTTGAAGGTGTCCATATGCTTCTCAATTTCAGAGTTGGTTCGATCCTGGACTATCTGCAGAGATATGACATCCTCTTCCTTCAGAGGACAAGAGGGACAAGTGTCAGCCCTGAGGTTAACCCCCATGGCCTCTGGAGAAAAGTGGGGGGCCCATCCCCCTTTAGGAGAGGCTGGGGGAGCCCCAGATCCCGGAACCATGGAGCCACATGTGAGGCTCAGCTAAGTGCTCTTGTCCAGAGATCCCCAGGATTTTGCAGCAGAAACCATGGTCCTGAGTGGGCAATGGCTCCCAGGATTGTGTGCAATGTCTTTCAGGTGGTCCTAGGCTCAGGCTGGGGAAAGGTTTGCCTGCCCTTCCCTGCCCGTACCTTGCATTCCATATCTCTACCATTATCAGACTGGCAAACACAGCCGAACCTGGCTGCGGCCACATGGAGTCCTGGGAGACGCTGAAGCCTGAATCTAATTGTGTCCGAAGGGAACTTGTTCACATTGCCTCCATCTGAGTCCTAGCTTTGCCCCCACCCAGGTCTGTGCCACCCCCACCACACCATGGGCTTGTTCTACCTCATCTGTGGCATTTTAGAAAACGGAGATTCTAAATCATTAGCTTGCCCTGTGTGCTGCTAGGTCTTCTTACATGCAGATGTTTCCACTGGGAAAGTTACTTCAGATCCCTTCACGTGAGCAAATAGCATCTCCATGTCAGACTCTGGTGGGAGAGGTGGCAGCCAGCAAGCTGTCCTCAGCATGATAGGCCCCCTCAAAGGTACCTATGTGTCACTCTTTCCTCACTTAGGATGCCCACTTTTCTTCTCTGGCCTTAGTCACACCTTATTCATATATGAAATCTGGTTTAAAGTTCATCTATTTTCTGACACTCTCCAGATTCTTCAAGGGCTCTTTTAGAACTCCTGTGAAGGGACTGGGATGTTTTACATTATTGTGTAAATTTCTCTTCTGCTGAATGGCTGACAATGGTCCAGCCTCCGTGTCTGGTACTTACCCATACACTGTAGTCAGCAAACTGTTCTGTATTTTCTTGAAGGGAGAATCCCAGGGTGACCAAGGATGCCATGAACATATATCTCCATGCATAATAGCACATGGTGGTGGACCTGGGTCAGTTCTGCAAAGAAATGTAATGGTGGGTCCTCCTCAGAGAGCATGGGAACATCTTACTCCTTGGAAATCTGCCAATTCCTGTCCCTCATCTGTCTCCTGGGATACCACTACCTAATTATTTTGCCTTAAACTTTACCCTCCCAAATCTTCTCTTCTTCCTACTTGTAGCCATCTAAAGGACAAAGATCAAGGAATTTGATTTTGTTCAGCTTCTACTTTTCCCCTTTCCTCCATGGGTTTCCTGTAAAATTGGAGGAACTTCCTTCATTTATCTACTCTTAGAAACTACCAGGCTGTTCTGTCTCACCTTTGTTGCCGAGAAGAGAAAACTGAGGGATAAATGTTGACTGTATTTTCCCCAAATTTCAAACTCAAGCCAAAATGTCCCCACAGGTTTTATTGATCAGTAAATTTAATCTCTTTGAGCTCCACACTTACTTTTGTGACTGCTCCGTTCCAGGATTATGTTTGACAGATATATGAGGTAGTGAATCAAGTCAGAAGGGCCGAAGGAAAAGCTTATTGCTGTGATTCCCCCATGCTAAGTCGGTAGGAAGATGGAAACTTGAAAATGACCAGAAATTTCTCATCATGTTCCCATCTTCACCATGTTCGCCATGCTATATTCATCAAAGTCTTCCTGCCTAGCAGATACTGTGGCTTGAGGGTTTATCAGAGAGCGAGAATTTGCCTTGAAATGAAGAGAAAAAGCTTCAGTGCTGAAGGCTGGGCTCTCAGATTGGCCCCTCTGAGGTAACTGAAATGAGTCACTCCTCCTAGGAGACCCCACCTGGCAACCATTGTTCACCTTGAATGGGCTGCTCGCTACCCTGGCCTGACGTCAAGCATGTGTGTCTGGGTGAGGTGGGATCAAAGTTTCAACCAGCCTTCCAGCCTTCTGACTTAAAACTTGGGAAATACTTGTCAGTTCAAATCAAATATGCACGGTGGATTCTGAGCTTCCCCTTCCTCTGAGAGGAGGCCCTGTGGATTGATCGTTTCTACCTCCCTCCTAGGGCTGTTGCCACACTGTGTTGCCTGGTGGGTCCCTTAATCACTGCCCTCAAGCTTCCACTTCTCTCTTGGACCTAGATCTGCCCAGCAGGGCTCACAAGTTTCTCCTTTCTTCTCTCTAGCTGTTCTTTTTCATTACTTAGGTTGTTTTTCCAGTTCTTTCTGTTTTTTTTTTTTCCAGTTCTTTCTCCAACACTTACAATTTTACTTATAATAGTGCTATTTTGACAAAACTATGTATTTTAAAGCTTTAAGTTTCTACCAGGATATAACTTCTTTGAACTCTTTTCCACTGTTTAATCCTTCCCCCATTTCTTCTTTCCATTGTTTGAGTCCTTTGTCTAGTCTCCTTCTCCCCAGAACTTATTCTGTTCTAGGAATCAATCAGCCAACCAACCTGAATGAAAGGGAAAAACTGTACAAGAGAAATTGTTCTTTTTAAAACTTTGTTCTTAAACTGGGTGTGGTGGCCCACGCCTGTAATCCCAGCACTCAGGTGGCTGATACAGGAGGATCATTGAGTTTGAGGCCAGCCTGGGCTATGGAGTGAGTTCAAGACCAGTGTGAATTGCATAGTGAAAACCTGACTCAAAAAGACAAAAACAAAAAACAAAAAAAAAAACCCTCTGTTTTTTGTTCTTTAGGTCTTTTAAAATTGCCTAGCTCTGTCTGTAACTGCTTCATGGCTTTGTAATTACTTTCTTGACTCCTGTAACCATGAGCGCATGACCAAACATACAGGATGCCTGATTGTACCATTGTACCAAGAGTCTTAAACTGATGATTACTAATCTACCCTTGTAACTGATAATCTCACTCTGCTAGCTAATCAGAAGGACTACCAGGCTGTTCTGTCTCACCTTTGTACCTCTTGCTTGTGCATCATATAAAAGCGCTAGACCACCAGAAATCAGGGCCTGATAATCTGGGAATGATCCCGATCACTGCCTGGTGATGTAAATAAATCTGGCTCCAAATCCCGAGTGTCATTTTGATGTTTTTGCTTGCTATTGCAAATCAGCTTTTAACAACTATTAACATTTATATTAAAGCTAAAATAGAGAAGATTATGGACAGTTTTTTTTTCAATAAAAAGTTGATAAATTTGGTGTAGTTCAATTTATTATTTTTTTATAGCCAGTGATATTTTGTCTTGAAAATTCATGTACTATAAAGATTGCAAAGATATTTTCTTAGGTTGCCTTTAGAAGTATTGTGGGAAAAAGTGAATCAACATTAACCAGGATCTCAGGAGAAGAAAGAAAATTTTATTAACATTAGCAGACCCCAGAGGAGTAATCTCCAGAGTCTGAGGAGGTGATTACAGAGAGCTTACCTTATTTATAGGGTAGTGAACAGAAGTTACAAGAGCAAGATAAGTTTTTGCTGGAGGCCAGGGTACAATGGGTATTTTGTGATGACCATAGTTGTATATGTAGCAAGCTGTTTTCAGCATATTCACAGGTTTCAATTGATGACAAATCATATAAACAAGCTGAGTTCAGTGGCAGAGAACAGAATGACTGCAACTTTATTTAACAAGATGGCTGCAGTTAGGTCAGAATTTCTGCTTCAGAAGCTTTATAGTGTTAGTTTTCACCTCTAGGTTTACAATTCCTCTCAAATTAATATTGTATATAGAATGAAGAGGGGTGGAGGTTCCTTTTTAGTTCCAACACCCAGTTCTAGCGACATTTGCGGAAAAGGCTTTCCTTTACTCTGTGAATTGCACTGGCGCTTTATCACAATCAATTAATGTGTACATTTGTGGCTATTTTTTTTCACTGCTCTTAGGTCCCTGATCTATTAGACTCTATCATTACACATAACATCTATTTTCCCTCCATTCCCAAGGTTGTAATCATGGTTTCTGTGCATTTTTCTTATAATTATGTAGAACTAATTTTTATGTAGAAGGTGCTTTTGGGTTTTACTCTTTTTATTTTCCCATACAGATGACCATGCATTATTGCACTACCTGTTAAAATGAACATTTTTCCCCATTTATGTGTAGCATCATCTTTATTATAAGTTAGGTCTCTATATGTCCCTATTTCTTAGTATTATTTTTACCCATATGCTTAAACTATGACATTTGGTTTAGAATAGATTCTTGTCAGTTCTTTTTTAGTTTTTAAGTCAGTTTTATTGAAATATAATTTACAAACCACCTTAAATGTCATTGAGTTTTTTTCCTTTTTTGATGCTGGGATTGAACCCAAGTAGTGCTAAACTGCATCACCAGTCTTTTTTTTGTGTGTGTGATTTTAATTTTGAGATAGTATCTTGCTAAATTGCCCAAGCTGGCCTCAAACTTGTGACCCTTCTGTATCAGAGTCCTGAGCAGCTAGGATTACAGGTGTGCAGCATCTTGATAGGCCAGGTCATTGAATTTTGACAAGCACTTGTGATTGGTTGTATGACCACCACTACTACCCTGATCAAGATAAGAACGATTCTAGTACTCTAAAAAGGCTGTTTAGAGTCAACTCCTCCTTCCCCTTACTTCTTGTCCCAGGAAACCAGTGTTATTCTTTCTATCACTATAGTTTGCTTTTTCTAGAATTTAATAAAAATGAAATCCTATAGCATTATAGTCTTTTGTGTCTGACCCTTTTCACTTAATATAATGTTGTTGCATGTATCAGAACTTTTTTCATTACTGAGTAGTATTCTACTGTGTAAATATATACAATTTGTTCATCTATTCAAGACTTGGGATGAACATCTTCTGTAATGAACAAAGCTGGAATGAAAATTTATATGCAGATCTTTGTATGGCATATGCTTTCATTTCTCTTGGGAAAATCTCAAAAAGTAGAATTGCTGGCTTATGTGTTAAGGGAAAATTTATCTTTATAATAAACTACCAAACTACCAAATTGGTTGTGCCATTTTTTTTTTTTGTCTTTTTGAGACAGGGTCTTGCTATGCAGTTCAGGCCAGCCTTGAGCTCATTTTGTAGCCCAGGCTGGTCTCGAACTCGCAATGATCCTCCTGCCTCAACCTTCCAAGAGCTGGGATTACAGGCATGTGCCACCACGCCCAGCTTTTTTTGGGCGGGGGGTGTTGTGCCATTTTGTGTTCCCTTAGCAAAATATGAAAATTCAGTTCATGCATCTCCTTGAGAACACTTGGACTTGTCAACCTTCTGAGTTTAAGCCATTCTAGTAGGTGGGTAGTAGTATCTCACTGTGAGTTTTTTCTTTTGTAAATTAAGATATAGCTTATATACTGTATAAAGTCATCTGTTTCAGTGTGTGGTGCTAAGTTTTGACAAACACATACAATCATTTAATTGCCACCGAAATCCAAGTATAATACAGTCCATCCTCTCAAATGTCCTCTGCCTTGTGATAGTCAGTCTGTTCCCTCACCTCCAGCCTCTGGTAACTGTTGACCTGTTTCCTATCTCCATGGTGGTGTTTTTCCAGGATGTCACATGTAGCCTTCTGTGTCTGGGGTTTTTCCATTAGTGTACCATTCTTGAGATATATCTAATGTTCTGTGCACATCTGTAACTCATTCCTTTTATTGATGATTAATATTTCATTGTATGAATGGGCCACTCCTTCTTCCATTCACAGTTTGATGGATATTTGGGTTGTCTTATTTATTTATTTATTTATTTATTTATTTATTTATTTATTTATTTATATTTCTTTTGGTAGTACTGTGAATCAAACTTATGACCTCATGCTTGCAAGGCAGGTGCTGTGCCACTGAGCTACATCCCTGGCCCCTGGATTGTTTTAAAGCTTGGGGAAATATTTCAAAATTGTTACACAGATTAATGCAATCCCCATCAAAATTTCGACAGCATATCTCACAGAATTAAAGAAAACAATTCTAAAGTTCATTTGGAACCAGAAGAGACTTAGAATAGCAAAGGCAATTCTAGGCAACAAAGGCAAGGCAGGGGGCATCACAATCTCTGATTTGAAATTATACTACAAATCTACTGTGATTAAAAATAGCAGGGTAAAACCAAACCAAAACAAAAAATACAAAACAACAACAACAAAAGCAGCATGATACTGACAAAAGAAACCCCACCCTCTAAAAAAACAGACCCAAGGATCAATGAAACAGATTAGAAGATGCAGAAACAACTCCAGACATACTTAGTCACCTTTTCTTTGCTTTTTTGCTTCCCATCTCATCTGAGCCCTGACAAGTGACTCCTTGGGCCTGAAGTGGATCTGCTTCTGGGATTCATCTGTCACCTTTTTGTCACCCTTGGCTTCCTCCATTTCTGCCTGGGCTTGGTCCTCTTCCTGCCTGCATAGCCCTTGGCCTGAGTCTTGGTCCTGAGTTGCTATTTTGATCCATGTACCCTTCATGGGAATTAAGTTATTTTTCTTGTAACCTACAGTACACAAGGGATTGCAGTGGGATTAATAAAGTCCTGATGGCCAAATTTTATTTTACCCAACAGATTCTGAGTGAAGTAGGAAGCAAGATACTGAAATTTTGCAGATGTCCCATGGTCTAGCCCCTAAAGAGTTAAGATGGGGCATGGCAGGGAACTTCCGAACTCTGCCTATATCTCAGGGCCAGTGCCTGTTGTGATAGGAGGGTGCCTGTTCCATCCAGATTATTAAACACTTTGAGCACGCTGATGCAGAAAAAAATGGAGCCAAGGAGATTGTATTTATTGACAAACTCACATATGAGACATTGCGGTGATGGTGGTGCAGTCACTTGCTAATGTATTTATATTGAGTCCTCACAAACG